TTTTGAATTCATTCTGAGTTTTGTGTTTTGAGTGTCCATTTTGAGATTGTTGAAAATATGTTCTTTTTGACATTTTGAAAAATTATTTTCAAAAATTAAAAAACCCAAAACCCTTTCTTCTTTCCCATGTTTCTCTCTCGTCTCTCTCTCTCTTTTCCCCGTTCTTCTTCCCCATTTTTCAAAAGACGCTGCGATGGTGGTTCATGGTTGGGTCGCGGTGGTTTTCTTTCTTCCTATTATTGATCTACAATCCTTTCTTTCTTTTTTTTTTTGGTTGGCTGTGGTGGTTTAGGGTGGTGGCGTGGTGCAGGCGCCGCGTTTTTGTTGTTGTGGTGGTGGTGTTGTGGCGACGACGGTGGTGGTTGGTGGTATGGTGTGGGCTGCAATGGTGGTGGTTCTGCTGCGGTGAGTTTGGGGTGCGGTGTGGGCGACGATGGTGGTGGTTCTGCTGCTCCGGTGGAGGTTGGATGTGGTTTAAAATACCCAAAATGCGTTTTGAAAATTTTGGGTTTGTTTTAAATGAAAAGACTCAAAACGACAAATTTGTCGTTTTGGATTTTCTTTGTAACTTTTACACTTGTTTTCAAAAACGCGTTTTTGAAAATAGGAAAAAGAACTCATTTTCACTGTTTTGAAAAATCGAAAACAGAAAACGGGTTGAAAAAGGCAAAGAGAACTACCCCTTATTAATTTCGAGATGCCAAAAAATGAAGAATTAACCCTTTATTTATAGGGGTTTAAACAAAAGGAAAAAATTCATAACTATGGATCAGTTTGATTGGTTTAAATTTCATGGAAAATGTCACATATGAGGAATTCAATTTCTACTTTGACTGTTCGATACGAAAGTGGAAATGAAGTTCGAATTTTAAGATATAACCACTTTAAGCTTATTTTTTTGCCAATTCCATGAAAAATGCATTCTTATGGGATACTTGGATTTTTATTTTCCAACTTACATGAAATTGAAAAACCTTTTCACCTTTGTCATTCCTATGAGTTTAACTACAACTCATTTCAAAACTAAGATAAAATGTTTAAATTTCAAAAATCAAATATTTATTAACTTTTATTTATGAAATTATTAATTAAAAATATATTTTATAAATTAAATATAAGATCACAATTCTATACAATTTAGTCACACAATTTTGAATTAATTGGTTACAAAAAATTTCTCGATCAAAATTAAAAAATTTATAGACCACAAGTTATTTCATGTTCACAAATTTATCAAATTAATAGGTCAATATTATTCTTTGGTCACAAACCACAAATGTTATAAGTCACAACATCAAATTAATTGGCAACAAATTATGCTTAGATCACAAATTATCAAATTATTTGTCACAAGTTAACAAATTTTTAGGTCGCATATTATCTATTTGTCACAATTTATCTATTTCATTGGTCACATATTAACCAATTTATTGGTCACAAATAATCAAATCATTTGTGACCACCACCTCACCACCGTCACCATCCGCATATCCGCCACCACCACCACCACCAACCTTCCATTCCACAACCCCCACCAAAAAAATCCCAACATCTGCTGTCGGCACTACTTTCACTTTCTGTATCAACAATAATCATCACCATTGTCACCAATGCACCCACAACACTCAACCACATCACCACCACACCCACACTACAGTGCCACCATTGCATCTACTGCACACAACAAAACAACCACCACAATTGCAAAATCAACCGATCTTAACAACCACAGTACCACCACCGAACAGTAAATCACGGCATCGATTAAAAAAAAAGGAATAAGAATGGATTTGAGTTGGGTCGTGTGCAGCAGTGCACCTGAGCCGTCGAAAAGAGAATGAAGAAGTGGGTTGTGATTTGCGGTTTTGAAATTTTTAGGGTTTGGGTGGATACGATTTAGAGTGAGAAGATAGAAGATATTTAATATTATTAATATCTGATTTTTGTATAAATAAGTTTTAGATTTGATTTTTGAAATTGGATCTTGAAAGATTTGGTTTGAGTGTAATTTCCACTTTTCAAAATGTTAGGGTGCAAAGACGGTCGAGTGAAAAGGTATAGTGTTTGAGAAAGAGAGCTTGAATTATGAAATAAATCGTGAAAACAAAATAAAGTGAGCGAAATTGAATTTTGATGTACCATTATAAAGTGAACTCAAATTGAAACAAGTTTATTTCGAGCCATTTAGAGCGCATAATAGAAAATTTACGCAGTACGTACTATTGTAAATACGAACTTTTACAACAAATTCAGCATCCTAAATATATCTTTACTAACCCACTAATTTCTCTTTATCTAGCACTCATTCAAGATTATTTACTTTGAAAGATTTGGTCCTCAAAAAAAGAAAAAAGATGTAAAGAAAAAGCAAAAGAGTCCCTTACCGCACTTTCACAATGCTCTCCTTGATTATAGCATGTCTTTAATAAAGCAAAATTAGAGCTTCAAATTTCCATTTTTTAATCCTAAAATAGATTATAATAAGCATGTAATCCTAATAAATAGTTATCAATAAATCAATTTATTATGAAGGGATAATCTGGATAAGATAGAAAATAATTCCCATTATATTATGCCCTTTTTTGATGAGGATTAAAATCAGATTTTTAGTAGATTTTGATAGAAAATAATGAAATGTGTGGTTCAAAAGTTGTGGAAATGCGTGATTAAAATAAATTGTTAATTTTGACTTATATTAAAATCTAAATTTTAATCGGTATCAAAGAGGGACTTGTTGAAAAATCAATGCTATAAATTATTTCGAATTTCTTGTTGGTGCACATGAAGGGCCACCAGAATAAGCAATATTCACTAGGCCAAGGGCTAAGAGCACCCCCTCGAATAAAAACTTCCATAGCCGGTTGGACTTAAGGGACAAATAAGTAGTGGTCAAGTTGTCCTTGAAAATATCCCAAGAAGTAATTGTTCAACGAATGATACGAAGCACCTAAACTAAAAGCTAGTCATTCATGGAAAAAAATATACTTAAATATTTAGTTCGATTAGAAATACACTGTAGTTGAACATCGATCTTTTGACCTTAGTTCAAGAGGGAATCTAGTTCGACACTAAAATTCACACCAAGAATTGGCCAACTCACCTTCCATTTGGTTTTGCTCATTTATCCTTTTAACCACTAATTCGACTATTTTACTCTTGGCCCTTTATTGTTTCTTGATCAATGTCTTATCTGTATTTTCAAACATGAGTCTAGATTTACCCGATATGAGAATTGATAATTGTTCAAAGCAAATTAGTTGCATAAACCTTCTTCAAAGAATTTCATGAAATTGTATTAGTTGAAGTAAGAAGGTCAATATTAGTTTTTTTAACCAACAAAACATAAAAAAGAAGAGGCGCTTCTGTAAAAGTTTACATAATAATACTAATATTTTGCCCTCCTTTTAGTGCCATTTCTGTAAATTCCCATCTTCTATTGGCCCATCGTTTCACAATATGAACTCAATTGGCCCATACCAATTGTACATCGAGAAAATTAGGCCCAACCCTTCCCCAAATTGTGCGTTTTTAGGAAATTAGGTTATTAAAAATTAATTTGGTAAACATCAAAAGTATCCTACTTTTTCTTCAAAAAGCTTAAAATACCTCCTCCTACATTTTTTTTTTTAAATTTAGCAAGAAAAAAAAAATTAATCGCAAATCGCCATTGCTCGACTCACACATTAGTGATGAAACTTATGAAGATTTAATTCCAGTCGAATCAAATCACAAAAGAATTGCCACATCCGCGATATAATTGGTGCAAAATGCATGTTATTTTGTTAACTTATTTTTTATTTTATTTTTATTTTTGCAATCAATAGTCATGAATTTATTCAATGTACGAAAAAACCTGACCTGATCGGCCAAAAAATGAGAGAAATTCCGGTCTCTAAAATTGCATGACTTGCTTAATTTACAACAGGTGGTCAGTGAACTTTTCGAAAAATTTCATCCTAGTCACTGATCTTTGTTTCGCTACAAGTTGAGTACTTAAATTTTATTTCAACTTAGTCACACTTTATCGATATCTGTTACTTAGCCTCTGTTTGGTTAAGCTAAAAAAGTTGATAAAATTTCAAGTCAAAGTCAATAATTAATTTTAACCATACATTTTAAGAAATTCACAACTTTTCTCAAATTTTCAACCACGCATTTTCATCAGATTTTATCAAAAATCTATTAAAAATTTGATTTTAACCTAAACCAAACAAGGGCTTAGGGAATCAGTGATGTGTCAATCTAGTCACTTGTCAACTAGGTTGTCACGTCATCTTTTTCACTAGTCAAATAAATTGACATTGACGGAGCGATCAACTTGAAAGAAATATTTAAGTTTGGCGATCAATTCGAAACAAAATGAAATTTATAGAAACTAAAATTTTATTTTGCTAAAAATTCCCATGATTATTAAAACTATAATAACACATTCATTGTTCTATCATTTCACTTCATTTCATTCTATTTGTCTGAAAATAAAAAACCAGAAAGAGTATGGAGGGAGAGATCAAGAATTTCATTATGGTATGGTCTTCAGTAATCCTATCAGTATGCTATTGTTATGCCATAGCTAAACTAACTGCTAAAGGTACAACAAGATTATGCATGTTCATGCCAGCAATATGTCTTTTTTTTGTCCTTCCTATGAACTTAAACTCTGTCAATTTAGGTTGTGCAACTGCCTTCTTTGTCACTTGGTTAACAAATTCTAAACTTCTACTCTTAGCATTTGGAACCGGCCCTTTGTCCAATCCATCGCTCTCCCTTTCCCATTTTGTTGTCATTTCTTGTTTACCAGTTGTGATACAACATCAACCCACAACCTTAAAATCTTCGATAAACGACGAAAATTCAGAGAATTCTCGTGTTAATGGAGAACATATGAACCCTAATATGCATAGGAAAAATAGTGTGAAATCCCTTTTGCATTATGGAAAGAAGGTTTTGTTTTTGATATTTTTGCTGATTTTGAATCTTTATAGACATAAATTTCACCGAGATCTTACGGCATTCATGGTGTGCTTGTTTACTGTCGTTGGCTTGGAAGTGATACTAGGGGTGGCGGCCGTTATTGGCCAATTCTTGCTAAGAACTGAGGTCGAGCCACCATTTAATGACCCATACTTCGCATCATCGTTGAAAGACTTTTGGGGTCGAAGATGGAATCGTGTAAGCTCGAATACTCTACGTTTGGTTGTATTTCACCCGATCCTCAAGAAGTCATCGATGATTATAGGTCCAAATTTGGCTGTAACACTGGCCTTATTAGGTACATTCGTCGTGTCTGCACTTATGCATGAAATCATCTTTTACTATATAGGCCGTGTTACACCTCGATGGGGTACAACATCGTTTTTCCTCATGCAAGGGCTATGTCTCATAGTCGAGAACAATTTGAGGGAGAAAATTAGCGTTAAATGGCGCGTGCCACGACTAATCACGGGGCCATTGGTGTTTGGTTTTGTTGTATACACATTCATGAGGCTAGTCTTGCCAGAACTGCTTGAATACAATGTGGATGAAAGAGCAATTGCAGAGTATGCAGCTGTGGTTGATTTTGTGAAGGATGCAAGCTTATACTGGGGAAAGTTTGGTACAAATTTCTGGTACAAAACTTGGAAGGAAACAGCATATGTTTGTCAACACATTCAATGAAGGCTATTAGCAAAGAGAAATTATGGGAGTAATACAAAATAATGCAATGTACTCCTAGAATATGTGATGTAAGAGTCTAGTTATTTGCCAGCTGAGCTACCGTGCATCAACTTTTCAGCTAGTCAAATTAACATTTATGGATGGAATGACAAAATATTTATGTCCAACGGCCAAGTTGAAGCAGAGTTTTACGTCTAGTGACCAATTGAACAAAAATCCTATTTGTTTTAGTTAAAAATTAGATTTTTAGTAAATTTTGACAAAAATTGATAAAATACGTAGTTGAAAAATTGATGAAAATTGTGAGTCCAACGAAACGTCTTGTTGAAAATGAATTTTATGAAAAACGACTTCTAAGAAAAAATGTAGTGACCAACAATAACAATGCTTTTAACCCAATCATATCGTATCTAAAAGTTAAACAGATGGCAAACTTTTCGGCAAAAAAACGAGGAGATATAATATTGAGCAATCCAAGAAAATCCCAATTTCAATACGGAGATAAGCATTAATTACGAAGAGACCAAAGTGTAACAATTAAATGATTCTTTAAAATCAAGGTATATAAAGTACATAAACGTAGAGTCTACATATAAATATAACCACACAAACTATAAACTAAGTTACAGTTACAGTTTCAGTGTGAAGGAATGGGAAATAAAATTTGGCTCTCAAAAATGGCTATGGTATGCATATTATTGCTGATACTGTGGGAGATGGCTTTGCCTTCAATGGCCTGTCCTTCAGATGGAACTGAGTGCAGTAACTTTATCACAAATCAAATGAAATCGAGTTGCCCTTGATGTGTTCCAATAATTCCATGCATGGCTCGGTGATTGTTGGGTGGAACGCATCGATCCAAGTGTATCAAGAAATGTGACTGCAATGGTGGGTATCCAAGGCTAGCCGATTGCAAGAAATGCTTGTTGCAGTGCAAATGTAGTTGTTTGGGTTAGATAAGGGTGAGTTTCAGTGGGTTGATTAACGTATATTTGTCTTGAGAAAGTACTTCTATACGAGTCTTTCATGTTGGAGAATATTTAGGGCAAAACCGTTTGCCCTGCTCCAGCTTTTTGTAGAATAACTTCTTGAAAAAGTCAATTTGCTCGAAAAGTTCTTTTAACTAGACAAAGTGCTTCTAGAATTTATCCATAATAGGTCCAAAATTAACTTTTTAATCTCAAAATCAAATTTTGACTTATCAAAATCCTGCCAACAAGCGCTTAGATGCATTCACAACTGAAAATGAATAAAGACGTAATTCAATCAAGAACAACGAAGAAATTTGTCATCTGAAAAGCTTTCAATTGCTCAACAAGTATCGAGCACAAAACAACAAATACACGCTAATGCACAACAATTTCCATACAAGCGTCAAACAGTATTAAAAGTTAAAACATACATATTGCTAGATACGAGTATAATACACCATAGAAGAAGTTGGCCATATGTATAAGTCCAAATTCCATGATCATCTTTAAAGAATCAGAATTTGCTCATTTAATCTTCTAAAATTCTTTTCGTTGCTCAAACCTAATAATTCTAGATAGTGGTGTCAAGATTAGGATACGTATTTTTACACAAAATCACCCTACCAAATCGTAACTCATACGTATTTAGAATAACCTAGGTTTAAAAGTGACATAAGAATTTATGCGACGACTTCAACTTTAAAATTTATTTTTAGAGCATAAAAATATTTGGCCAAAATCAATGGTTGCAAGGAAAAATAGGGAACATATCGAACGAGAACCATGCGATTTTGGTCCAGTCCGGTTCCTTTTTCCAGTAAAACCAAAAATTCTATTTTTAATGTCCAATTCTCAAGATATCCGAACAGTTGGAATTGCCGGCTGGTTAAGGTCTGACCCTCCGAGGTACCAACCTAGGCCTCACTCAGGTCGGATTCATCCATTTCGACAGCTATAGTTCTAGAAAAAAACTTCCCATCTATGGAGTGGGTCATTCTAATCATAGACCCTTCTATAATATCATGCATATAGCATTCCCTAGATGTCTGTACATCTATGTTTGTGTGAGACACTATGATCACATCTTTCTCTTCTTCAGTTCGGTTTCTCTCTCTCTCTGAACTACATAATACTTCCAATTTTTCTGCAATTAATCGAAAAACTTCATTCAACAACTAGGCATGTTATTGTAGAGTCATTATTTGCAATATAAGGATGAACGCCTAACATAATTCCATAAAACAACGGCTAGTGCAGTCTTCTGCAGTATACACCTGCGAATCTGGAGGTCAAGAGAGGAAGAGAAATACGTCCAAACCAGCAAAAAGGGGTTTTTAAGATGGTGTTGGGAGAATCTTTCCCGAGCAGGTTCCAAAGCCAACAAGGTAACCTTCCCCCTGCAATCAACTCTTGCTTTTTAATACAAGAATGTACAGATAATACTGAAACAGATGTATAGATAAATGTACAAGGTCAAACAACCCTAGTAAGGGAGCTATAATCAGCAGCCTTACATTCCCTTTTCATGTGTTTGGTTGATTACACATTATTGGACATCAATAAAATGAAAAAGAAACTAAAATCCTGTTCATTGTAATATTTAGCCAATTCAGTACAATGTACCAACATGCTCTTTACAATGTTTTCATATTTGGTACTTGTGCGGAAGTAATTTTTCGAAATTCACCTTTTTCCACACTTATTTTCAACCAGTCTACAAAAATAAATAAATAAAATAAATCATTTTCGACGTTTTCTTGTAACGTTTCATACTTTTTAACTACATTTTCCAAAAAAATCACTTTTGAAATAATTTCTCCCACACAAGCACTTAATGTTCCTAGAAAGGAAAAAAGCACTATATCACTTTCGCTATTTTTCATTTGTCAACAATGACCTGATCCAATAAGAAAGAAAGGAGAAAAAGTCTGTCTCAGTCTAGACTAACTATTTTTACTGGATATCTGATTTAAATACTAAATCCATTATAGAAGTAAACAAATCAAAAAAATAAATGAACCTTGCAACAGCCTGTAAAAATGACTTCGTCTCCATCTTCCAGAAATTTGCGAGTTGATCCACCTAAAGATAAAGGTTTTTGTCCATTCCAGGTTAACTCTAACAAGCATCCATAGGATTCTGGTTCCTGCAAAGTAAATCAAGTTGTTAATCCAGTAGATGAAACATTTACTGCTGCTATTGTCTATGTGAGCAAAAAGAAGCAACATTGGAGCTAAATTTATTGGAAGTATCACACTAGTAATAATATCTTACAGGTCCACTGATGGTCCCAGTACCAAGGAGGTCACCAGGCCTTAAGTTGCAACCATTGATGGTATGGTGTGCGAGTTGCTGAGTGATTGTCCAATATCTGTATCACAGGATATCAAATAGATTGTCATCAACACTATCATTAATAGTTATATTAGTCATCAAACGAAAAAGAGGAGACACCTACAAGTGCTTGAAGTTGCTTCTTGTGACAATGCATGTATCTTCTTCACCAGCAGGTTTAACAGATACCTGGTAGCAAGAAAGCAAGTGCAATAGTAACTACAAATTTCTGTGGCATTTCCACGAGTACAAGTACAAATTTACTTTCATATAAACAAAGAAAAAACTGGTTATTTGTTATGAGATGTAAATCGTTTGAAATAATTAAATTGAGTTCACATCCAAAATGAATATTTTTTCAAAGATCTACTAGTATTAGCTAAATCATTATCTTTACATATAAATAGAGGAGCCAAACACCTGCAAGGAGATGTCATAGTTTTTGGATATCTTCTCGGCAAGATATGGCAAGGGTGGAGGATTCTGCAATTAACATTTCAACTAGGTTATGCTGTGTAAAAACCAGGCTAACTGCCCTTGTTATCCCATATGGGTACCTTCTTTGGAGCATCAGAAGCAAATGGTTCGAGAGCATCTAAAGTCACAATCCATGGGGATATAGTCGTACCTGGAAAGGACCCAAATGAAAAGAGAAGATTTTGCATCAATCAGCGAAATAATTAGTGATAATAATTTAATTAATTTGTAAACGCAATCTTCAAGATTCAGAACATATATTATTCAGAAACTTTGATTTTCTTTAAAAGAGTCCAAAATAATACTAGGAAATCTTACCAAAACTTTTGCCAAGAAAAGGACCAAGAGGCACATATTCCCATGCCTGAATGTCTCTTGCTGTTGACAGCAGCTCATCATCAGTATGACGTCAAAAATCAAACGGATGATGCTCTAAGAAGATAATATGGATAAACTCAAATGTAAGAGAGATTTCGCACATACCACTCCAGTCATTCATCAAAACAAGTCCAAAGATATGATCTGCAGCCTCATTAACATCCACAGGCTTCCCCAATTCATTTCCAGGGCCAACTACAGCAGCCTTGGAACAATAGTAAAATTTCAAGAAGAAAAGTGGGATAAGTTCCACATGAGTAAATGATTACAGTTGTAGCAGTGATAAATAAACAGGAAAAGCTTAAAAAGAATTTGAAACCAGCGACTGGCTATACGTTGAACTGAAAATGTGAATGTGGTATGCGGGTACCACCCATCATATTTTGTAACTATGTCACCCACAAGAAACTATCAATTCTTAATAATGACATAAAAGCTCACCATTTCCATCTCAAAGTCCAACTTACGAGAAGGTCCAAAATAGGGTGGAGAAGTTCCAGCTGGGTGACCTTGTCCTCTGGACACACAAAAATAACAGAAATCATGAGATGAAAGGAATCTAAGCTATTCTGGTATAAAACACGCTAACAAAAGAGTTGACTACAACCAAGTCAATAAATAATGCACAGTGACATAAATTTTTTGAAATCAACCTTTATTTTTTATAAGTATATACGAATAGTTTAGAAGGAAAAACCTATGTACATGATAAATACAGATAGATCAGGATATTGAAAATTACATTAAGAGCTTGTTTGGTAACACTAAAAATCCAATTAAAATTGAAAATATAGTCGTTATTGGGTCCCACCGATTTAATAAAAGTCAACAGTAACGGCTAGTTTTTCAATTTTAATCCGATTTTAATCTCTACCAAACACACTCTAAGTAAAAGAAGAGGCTAATGCCTAGTGTGGCATTAACATGCTGGGATTGAGACAAGGGGTTTGCTCTAGTCTACTCAATGTCCATCGACTTAGGTAGGGGACTAACTAGGCCGTGGTCACTCTTTATAAAACAGAAGAAAAATTATAGTACGCACATGCATCAGAATCTGGCCACAAATATTGGCATTTTTAAACACGAGATACTTGTTACAATTTCAAAATTGATGAACAAGTTAAAAGAGCTCCTCAAGATTGATAACCACGCTATTCACAAAAAACGAAGCTGGGTAATTTAGTAAAATAAAAGATAAACTTGAAGCTAGATTTGGAATTGGAGGACAATAATTCAAAATTGATTTTTTCTTCGCATTCATCGCTTTTACATGAGGCTAATTTGTCTTATTCTAGTTTGCTTAAAAGTATGCTTCATGTAAAATATTATGGCAGTCATTATAGTCATGAAGCTCAAAAGGTCTGCAACGTAATTGTGATAGGCATTGAGAAATACACTAAAACATCCATGGTATCTGCTGCAGTACCAATTCATCTTAACTCATTGGTCAACAAAGGGGAACATCATTAAATTACTTTAGTAAATTGGCATCCAGTATAAATTTTAAGACTTCATAATAAAGTCGTTTAAACCCTTTCTATTAGCATGATATGGTTTGTGTGATTGATACGCTTTTCAGTATGTTCTATATGAAAGCAATCAAAATAAAGTTGAACTCCAAGCACTAAGGCATGTTCAGAAAATTAAGGCAGTAGTTGGTGTTTTGAAAATGTAGTACAGAGAAGCATAGAGAAATTTAGAGACACTACATTCCCTTGGAAAATATTTCGCATTTTAGTTCTTTCCTTAATTCAGAAAGAGCGGTAATCAAAATAACTTTCAAAAGAACTAAAGAAGGAAGCTTGCATTTTGTCACCTTGGTCTAATGATATCAGTGCCGGATATGACAATAGATGATGCACGACCGTGGTAAGCAATAGGAATGTGGAACCTGACAAGTAGTTTGGCAACCAATGAAGAAGCAGATAACTCTAGAAAGCAGAAAGAGCGAAGGCAGTGCAGTTATTTTGCTAAATCTACAGAAAATGCTTTTGCTTTTAACTAGATATCCAAAATATACTATACCAATTTGGGTTGATTGGATTTTCTGGGCCTCGAAATATAAGTCCACAGTTCTTGGCGTGATGCATTGAAGCAAAGAAATCTGTATAGTCACCTATCACAACGGGAAGAAGCATTTGGACCTTGACCTGAATCATCAGAACAGGCAAAATTTTGAATGCCAAGTCCCAAACCTCATCATTTATATAAACTGAAAAATGTGTGCATGTCCTACCATAGGCACAAGCGCTTTCTGCCTTAAACTTGAGTTATCACGCAGTGTCGGTTCTGTGGCTGCATTATTAAAAAGCAAAATAAACGAGCTTTGGATTATGTCTAATGTACAGGGAAGCCAATGAAGGAATTTAAAAACTCCGGTGCATATCTTTTACATTTTACTAATTTATCCATAAAGCTAGAAAAATAAAACTTCAGTAATACAGAACACTGTCTAAGAAGGGGAGGTAGGGAGCTTACCTGACAATAGCTTTTGCAATGTTACGCGAGCTTCCTTCCATGCAGGTCGTCCCAATCCCACGAACTTGTTAAGATTAAGCTGTACCATATCTTAATTAATCACCCACTATGTACAACATGGTAACAGCATTTACACTCGTGTGTCCTTTCCTTAACCATCATTCAAAGAAATGTACAATGACAAGATTACTCAAGCATGATGTACAAATGCAATTACATATTCAGCTGTTCAGCTTATAGTATATTATCAAAAAATTACATCTATCTCCGTCTCCTTGAATAATATATTTTTTCTATTGATTTCACAAACTTAAATGATATGAACGCGGATATGAATAAAAAGCATATGTAGCTTGTTTGGCTAAGCTTAAAAGATGTTCGTCATACCTCAAATTTGAGTTTACGAGGAACTCTGGTCTCTAAAATCATATAAATGATAAATTCATTCATTAACTTTCATGTCAATACGTACAATAATCAATTACTCGTCAAACTAAAATAATAAAAATAAAAAATCATACATAAAAATAATTTTCCTAAAAATAAAAATAAACTCAAACCAGTAAAATTAAACTACATGCAGAATTTTGTTTCTTTCCCTATAAAATTCGAACAAAGAATAAACCAATTCACTGAACAACCATCACTTAGCGGACGAGAAATAAACGGACCTGATTGAAACAATCGGAGTTTTTAAGAACCGGGCCGTCGAAAAGACCGGCGGAGGCGACAACAGATAGGTCCAATACATATTCTCCAATTGCAACTCCAGGCCTGGGCTCCGAACTGGGTTCGGGCTTGAAAACGCCGTACGGAAGGTTCTGAATGGGGAAATGAGAATCCGGATGGACTTCGACAAATGACGACAGCACCATAGTAGCGACTGAAAAACGACGTCGGAAGTAAGGTTAGAGTGGGGAGAAGTAGGAGAAGTTGTATGTATATTTACAATTTATATATCAGTAGAGAAGATCATGGGGAGTGGTAGATGAAATCAACGGCTGAGCTTTGGCGCGATCGTCTCTCCCGGTCCCAGATGAAAATTATGGGTGTCATTTATGTCAAGTCGAGCCAACTTTGGAGGATAGCCGACGGGTATGCCGCACGCTTAATTAACATGTAAATGGATTGCTAAATGTGTGGCGGTCAAGTGACATTTACGTTTTCTAAAAAACTAATTGAAATAGATTTTTTTTTTTTTTTTTGGTTACGCACAATTACGAGCGCCTACACTTATCCATCTCTGAGCCATGGTGTAGAAGGTGAATCGCAGGATATGCGTGGATTGGCCAGAGTTTGTGTGCGTTTCCACTGGCTTCCATGAAGGTTCTCCTCCTAAGGATTCGAACTCATGCCAACTTCCCCCAACTATGTAGAATACTCATACATGAAATCGATACAAGTGGGTAAGTAAAGAATACTTAGAGCATTTGACAAATTTTTCAAAGGAACTCAACAAAAATAGTACCATATTTTCGAGAGAAGGGGTGCCTCAAAGTGATTAGGCTTGAACGATTAATTACCAAAAATGTAGATCTTTTCAAAGTCGTAAGATCATGTATGGGAATTGATATCTTTCCTTATGAATAAAAAAACTGTGAACTCCAAATCAACACCTAATCGAGTCAACTGGCCGGTTAACCGTGAACCCAACTCTGGAGGCTGACACATGCTTTCTATGAGACTTTTTATAAAGGGCTCAAATCTTCAATTAGTACTGTAGAGCTCAATCCCCTTGGGAATGGGGCAGCGCCCACCTAGTCCAATTGCTAGACGGGCTGGAAACGATCCAGTCCACCTTGAAAATATTAGTTAAGAAACGCGACTCTAGTTAGAATTGGAAAAAACTGGAGGAAGAGAAACGGAGAGAAGGCGGACCATTTCCTTTTCCTCCAGATATAAACCGGGTCCAATTTGTTTCTCTCATCGAGAGCTCATAGAAAGGTTGACTTTTGTTGTCGATCAAAACTACAAGGATTGTTAAAGAGGAAAGTCAGATAATAAAGTAAATTCAAATTTCTTGGAAAAAAAAATTTAATTGTTTAAATGATTAAAGATTCGTCAAAATGATTTCGGATTCATCCAAATCCAAAACCCTAAAATTTCCACTTCAATTTTCCTTCAAAATTGATCCTTGATTTTAAGTATTTAAATTCACCGGCGAGTTTCTGAATAATAACAATTTTGTTTGTCTGGTGCAGGAAAAGAGTATTAGCAAAGAAAATGTCCATAGATTTGATACTGAAGCCGTCGTGCAGCGGTTGTGGATCGACGGTGGAGCTGTATGGTAGCACCTGCAAGCACTTAACGCTTTGCCTGACTTGTGGCAAAACCATGGCTGAGAACCGCGCGGAGTGCTATGAATGTGGCACTCGCATCACTCGCTTGATCAGGGTTGGTTGTTCCTTCTCTCAGACTAAATAAGAAACAGAACCATAATTAATTATTAATTGAATATGTGAATACTCGTCTTACATCTATGTCTTTAATAATAGTTTTTTTTTTTGGCGTTTACACGCTCGGGACTTGAAATTGTAAATGTTTTCTTTTGGGTTTAAATTCATGGCGAGACCCGCAAGTTTTGATGTTATCATTCTTGTTGTGCACTGTTATAAAATTGGGAGTTTCTGATTAATCTTATGTTTACCGTTATTTTCTTGTGCTGAGAACTGTGTAAAAAAATGAAGAGAATATAATTCTGAGTAATTTCTTTGGTTTTTGCTATCAAACTCCTATTTTTCTGACTTCATAAACAAAAGGATCAAAATTGATTGTTAGCTACCACATTGTAAAAGAATGATATCCCTGAGTGAAAAATGTCTTTATGTTATTCGATATATGTTTCCTCCAAGCTTTGAAGTCGCTATTAGTTTCTCTGTGCTCTCATTTGCAAAAAAAAAATAATAATAGAGGGAGTAGCTATTTCACTCAAAGCACTTTGAAGAACACACTGCAGTTTTGTTTTGATTGATTATTGTTGTGGTTTGGTAAGGAGTACGAGGAAGAACCTATTTTGGAAGTGCCGATTCTGTTAAAACTCGCTGAGTAAAGGCAACTAACACTGTTTTAGAAGCTGAAGTATGGGGTCCTTTTCATGCACAGATGCCATCCATTAACAGTTTTGTCTACAAGCTGCCCTTTTCTTCTGATTTCAAAAAATTCAGCTACTTACTGGAAGGCAATAATCTTCCAGTAGGAAGTGACTGAAGTCTATGTTTACAAGTTTGCTTGACAGCCCAAGACATAATTGCCAACACATGTTACTGGAAAATGATAAAAGGGAGAATCCTTGAATTTGAAATTTTGTCAAAGGCTATACTGAATTAATTTATCCACTTTTCAGAGTATGAATTTGTGCTTGCATCAGCGAGTGCTTTTCTTTAGCTGCTCATGGTCTATAGAATGCATTCAAGCTCATTTTATTTAAGTGTACCACATTACTCATCATTACTTTTTTCCACATCTTTTATAGTGAATGCTTTTCTGATATTGGCTGTTAACTTTTGGCATATTTAGGAATATAATGTCAGATCATGCTCCAGTAATGACAAAAATTACTTTATTGGAAGATTTGCGACGGGGTTACCAACTTTTAAGAAGAAGAATGAAAATAAATGGGCACTGCAGAAAGAAGGTCTTCAAGGCCGCCAAGTTTCTGATGCCTTGAGGGTACTCATTTTTTTCTACACTTATTCATTTGCTTCTAGAATCTTCAATACACCTATGATAAACTGAATATGTACATGCCTGTAGGATAAGATTTTCTATTTAATACTTGAAGGCTGTTTGTTGATTCTTTGCTTGGATCTCTCCTTTGCCTTGTAAATGATACAATTTTTAGCACTTGTATGCTATGAGTAAGTTAAGCAAATGCCAAAACTTTATCACATTTCCCTGCAATTATGAAAGCTCCCTATTGGCTGGTAGTAAAAAATGAATATTTGACTCCAATTTGGTAATAAGCAAATTAGTGGAGTTAGGCCATTATTATATTTTTATTCATCATACAAGTCGAGATATTTGATTAGTTCATTTACTTTTTATCGGGATGTTGCTTTCCACTTAATCTCACATATCTTCATTTGCTAGCTAGTAGCTATCACCATGTTGTTGAATTGTGCAGGATAAGTACAAGAATAAACCTTGGCTGCTGGAGGATGAAACTGGCCAGTCTCAATACCACGGTCAGCTTGAGGGTTCACAGTCAGCTACATATTACCTTCTAATGCTTCAGGGGAAGGAATTTGTAGCCATTCCTGCTGGTTCCTGGTAACCATTTTCCTATTTGTCCGGTATTTTGTATATATTTTGGTGTATCAGGTATTTATAATTTCATTTCCTTTTAGCTGATCCTAAATTTATTGGGAACATGACTTAGTTTATTTTTTTGTTTGTTTTTAGGTATAATTTTAATAAAGTGGCACAATATAAGCAACTCACTTTGGAGGAAGCGGAAGAGAAGATGAAAAATAGGAGGAAAACTGCTGATGGGTACCAAAGATGGATGATGAAAGCAGCAAATAATGGAGCTGCCGCCTTTGGTGAAGTAGAAAAGCTTGATGATCGGGAAAGTGGAGGTGGTAGTGCGAGAGGACGTAAAAAAACTGCAGGGGACGATGATGAAGACAATGTTTCTGATAGGGGAGAGGAAGATGAAGAAGAGGAGGCAGCTAGAAAAAATAGGCTCGGACTCAATAAAAAGGATGGGGATGATGATGAAGAAGGACCAAGAGGCGGCGATCTTGATTTTGATGACGATGATATTGAAAAGGGTCTGGTTTCTCTAATTTCCTTGTTATTGCATGCTTAAATTTTTGCCTCCAGCACTTGTTTGGGATTTTCATTGTGTTGTGCGATGTCAAAACAAGGATGATTAATCGGGGATGCCCTTACCCCATGAGCCTATAGTTGGGCCAGTAAGAATTTTGTTGAACACACACCTGCAGTCATTGAGTGGTCTGACCATATATTTTCCTGGAAAAAATAATTTAGTGATGGTATTTTATATGTTGGATCATTTCATGAGTTTGTTCATCATATTTTATTCCTATTAGTGCTGTCATGTGAATATGCATGTTTCTGCTGTCCTTGTATCTTTGGATAGTTTGATGAAGTAGATATGTCAATCATCACAGTTGCTGCATTACAGTTCCTTGATTAGGTGCTTTCTCAAGGAGTGAGTTGATTTTATTTATAAGGATTTTATTCTCTAGGTGATGATTGGGAGCATGAAGAAATTTTCACCGATGACGATGAAGCTGTCGGAAATGATCCTGAGGAACGAGAAGATTTGGCCCCAGAAATCCCTGCTCCTCCAGAAATTAAGCAGGTGATTATTTAAATTGCTCCAGTCCGTGTACAGTTATGCAAAATAATTACTACGCGTGTTGCTTGCTTTCATATTGTATTAGATTATCCCTATCTTTGTGCCTCTAAACTTAATGATCATGGCATGCAACAGTGGCTAGAAAAATGCAGTGCATGGTATAGGGTATGCTTAGCTATGTACATTGATTGAAAGTGATTGAGGATTGAATGCAGTCCTGTCCACATAAATGCTCTTATCTGAGACGATTATGAGGTGTGAGATCCCTTCCAGATTGCAGAAAGTTGCAAATCGTAGGGAAAATGGTGGTTTGGGTTACTGGAATGCTCTATGAAACCATATGCCGGAGTGAGAGAGAGAAGGGTGAATTTTGTGTGTAGGAGTTAAATGTAGATATCTAGTAATTAACGCTTAACGCAGCCGGCAATGTTCCATTCTTTTACTGGGTTTTTAGATACTCTTTTGAGATGCATAAAGTTTGCTTGAGGTGCCTAATGCCCCGAGGTCATATGCGCTAAGCCAATAAGCGGTCATCTACACACGGTCTGG